ATAATGGCTTGTATCCCTAATGGCTCCAAAGCTCTTTACATAAAGGAGGGACCTCCTAATTTCACACACCACAGACCAGCAAACACCTGGACAATGCGTGGTATAGCAGCCCCACTGCACTACAGACCCAGAGAAAGAAGAAATTGCTTCAACAGTTGAACTAAAGAACTTGAGGGATGCCAAATTGCACCATGTTCAGTCTTATTTCTACTCTGGACACCAGGGCTAACGCCTCTTCTTTTAGGAACAGTGCCATGAAATCATTATTAAATGCAGTGTGCCCAGTTACCACACTGGGGGATTCCTTTGGAAATTCTGGTCCAGAGATAAGAGCACCATCTACTGGACCACAACAACACTTGTAGCAGCAAACAGTTTTTTCTCATGGTCTTTCCCCCTACAACTGACCAGACCGGTTCATGCTTAGCCTCTGGGATCTGATGAGATCAGTCAAATGTAATGACTTCTAGATGGTTTAGTACAAGGACTGTTAATCAGAGGAAGAATCTTATCAGTGTACACGAATTAGCAGTTCTGGAAGAATGTACAACAGATGGATTGTTAACAAGGCTAAATTATTGATTGAACAGAGAAAAGGATCCAGTCCTTTATGTATTAAAATCATTCCAGGAACTTCAATGACTTCAATGTCTTTGTGGACACTGCACAATAGTAGGCCTCTTGTCATAGGAAAGTACAACAGACTTGGTCAGAGAAGTATTTCAATTTCAACTCCCTTACCAAGGATAGGGAAACTGTTTTGTTCTTAATTACATGCCGACAATCTTAAAAATGTATTTAAATACAGCTAGTCAGTGAGAGTCCCTACTCTCTACTGTAGTCTCACCTCTTTTCATTTGTATCCTACAACTGTGCTTCAAAGCAGCTGTGAACAATGGAGCAAAACTAGATACATTTAGAGTCATGATTGAATGAATATTTATTTGGCTGGGTATGAATGTAGTTTCAGTTTTTAGAGGAACTGATCAACTTTGAGCCCTTAATGCATGCAACGCCAGATGCGTGTAGTGTTTTGCAGCTCTTAACTGCCTTTTTTTCCCCACTCTTGTTACTGGCTGCAAGTTAGGATGTTGATCATCTCTGCTCCCGAATAAAATCTTGGTGTTCTGTGAGCCCTTAATTATTTAATAGATTTATTCCCTTATAATTTATAACCATATAACCTCTCCCAGATCTAAAGTTGTGAATGAATGAGAGGCTCATGAAACCTGCTGGGGAGCACTGATTTCAGGGTCACCTGTATGACTAGTGGTATATGTAGGACAGCTGCTATCACTGGTTTCTGTGTTTCTGTCTATGGCTACCTTTGCATCTGCCTTCTTTATTAAATGGCCTTTCCTGTCTCTCAGACATTTTTCATTTCAGGAAGACGGTAACTTGTACATAACCTCTATTTCAAATGGTGTTGGAACTGTAATTGGAACAAAAATAAAAATTAAACAAAATTAAAAAGAGTAAAATTAAATCCATTACATTGTTTGGTTACTTTTTTTTCAGCTGCCCTGTCTCGTCTTGTTTTGTCTCCTGGTTTCAGCCTGCAGCACTTTTTTCTGTTTCTCAGTTTTTCTTTTTTTTTTTTTTTTTTACACTCTCAACATAATTGCGTTAAAATCTGGCTCCCTGAGGTTTTGCACACATCTCGCAAAAGCTGCACGGGTTGCGTGGCTCGGCTATCAGGTGGGCTTTAATTTTTTTAGCCGTTTTTTTTTTATTTTTCTGAGGCCCGACCCCCCGTGACGACGCGTCGGAGACGCTCGGCGATGGTGGTGACCGGGGGGGCCCGTGTGCTTCGTGAGGGACGCTTCTGCTGCGTCGAGAACCGAGGGGAGCCCGGCTCACCCCCACTCTCCTCTGGGGGGCGCTCTGCCGCGCCTGCTGCAGTCCTAGGGAGTCGAAAGCACAGTCCGGCTTCTTGGGT